AAACAATAGTAATTTTAAGCAAAATGTTGTTGACCATAACAAATTAGAAATAAATAATAAAAATCTGAACAATTCACAAGTACTGGGAAAATAAACACGTTTATCAGTAATCTATCTGCTATAATGGAACTCAGTATTTTGTATTGAATGAAAACAAAATATTGTATATGTGGGATGCAAAGTAGAGCTTAGAAGGAAATTTGTAGCATGACATGTTATATTAGAAAAACGTCTTAATTTAATGGTTTAAGCTTCCACCTGAAGAAACAGAGAAAGAACAAACTAAATATAAACCAAGCAGGAAGAAGGAGTCTGAAGAATTGTCTTCAACTATAAAGATATCCAGATAAATTGAAAACTGAAAATAATGGAGAAAACTGATGAAACTGAAACCTGGTCTTATGAAAAGATTTATGATTGTTAAATCTCTAGCCAGACTGATCAAGAAAAAAGACACAAACTACCAATGTCAGCAATAAAGAATGGTGATATCAGTATAGATAATAAATGGAATATTATAAACAAACTATATTTCATTATATTTGACAATTTATGTGAAACAAATTTCTTGAAATTTCATTTAAGAATAAAATAGATAACTTTAATATTCATGTGTCTGTTAGAGATTAAATTAAAAGAAATCTCCAGGCTCAGATGTCTTCACTGGTGTATTCTCTCAAAGGAAGAAACAGTATAAATTTTGTATAAACTTCCATAAAATAAAAGAAACTCTTCTTAGTTTATTTCATGAAGCATTACCCTGATGCCAGATAAAGGCATTAGAAGAAGAAAAAAGAATGGAAAGCAAGGAAGGAAGGAATAACTTTAATTAATATAAACAAAAAACCCTAAACAAAATGCTAGTAAATCTAGCAATAAGTAAAAAGAATAATATTCATGACCAAGTTGTGTGGTCATGAAGAGGAATTTAGGGCTAACTCATTATCTGAATATCAATATAATTCACCATATCAGCAAACTAAAAAAAAAAAAAAGTGCTCTTGCTAGTAGACGCGGAAAAAGAATTTGACAAAATTTAGCACCAGTTTATGATAAAAATGCTCAGCAAACTAGGTATTAAAGGTAACTGCCCCTAAAACCCTAGAATTGATCATTATACTTCATAGTAAAAGACTAAGTGCTTTCTGTCAAGATTGGGAACAGGCCAAGATGTCTGCTCCAACTACTCCTGTTAAACATCATTCTGGAGATCCCAGTTATTGCAGTGAGTGAAGAAAAACGCATGAAAGCCTAAATTATCAAGAGATTCCAGTACCATTATGAGAAAAGTGAAACCAAACACTGTTTAGTTGTTATCCTAAAAGCAGTGTTGATATGCAGTTCCTTTATCGGAACCTTTGGATGGAAGTGCAATCTTGCTTTCCAGTGTGGCAGCTGACTAACCTAAGAAGCATCAAATAACTTCAGTGGAACCTTTTTAGTTTAGCAGTGTGGAATACTTGGTTTTAAAATGAAGACTGAGGAGGATAAGGTTTATTTGTTAAGTAAAATGAATATCACAATCTCATTATATACAAAAAGAAAAAAGTCCAGTTCTTTTATATCACATTTTTTAAAATATTTTTTTAGTTGTAGATGGACAATACCTTTATTTTGTTTAGTTACCTAATTTTTAAATGGGAGTGTTGTGTCTCAATTATTATAGGCTGTATTACCATTATAAATTGACTATTTTGTTTACTTTGTTTTTAAAATTGTCAGAAACTGGGTGTATAAAGAATCAAAATCTTATATGAAAAAGTGCATTATCTTAAGATTTAAAATGAAAGCAGTGAGTATATGTTTGAAACTACTAAAAAAAGAGAACTTATATGACAAAAAATTATAGGCAGAACAGTGAATTCTATATTTTTGAAATGGTGTAAGCATTTAGAAATTATTTCTAAAGTAAATATTTTGGGATTAGAACAAAGAAAATATATGTTGATACTGTTTTTCATAGCTATTCCCACAAGTCCAGGCATAAAATAAATGCTACATGAGTTGTTCCAAAGTTGCTTTGTTTTCCTTATTACTGTTACTTATCTATCTCGTTTGTTTAATTTGGAATGCCTGTACTATACAAAGCAGAATGAATAGAAGGGTAGAATGGTATAATGAACAACAATATTTAATAATGTTTTAGTGCTGACCATTATCCAAGGGTTTGAAATACGTTGTTTGCTTATAACAATTATGCAAGAAGTACTGTTATTACTGAATTTATAATAAAATAAATCAGGGCTTAACTGTGACTATCCAAGGATATAGTTAACACCCTCAAAGAATATATGATAAGTTCAACTAGAAAGGTATGAATAGTTATGATATGTTCTTTCTTTGTATTAACATGGGAAAGCCTTTTTAGAGGAAACAATGCCATTCGTATATGGCATGGGACAGTGGGCATAACATACCACAAGTAGAAAAAACACGAACAAACAAAGAAAGGGGAAAGTAGGAGAAACAGTTTGTAAATTGTGATCCAGTTGTGCTGCCTGTTTTGAGAAGAGTAGTAGGAGCCAATATTGGAAGGGCATATTGGAGCCAGGTTTTGAGAAATTTTCAAAATGTCATTCAAGTTTGTATATTTTTCTTTAAACTTTGGAAAGCCAAGAGGAAAGATTGAAAAATGTAAGATTTCTGGAGGTGAGAACCAAAAAGCACACAAAACTATGTACTTGGTTAAGTCTGAAGCTTCTAGCCAGGAACCTGTAATCTCAGGGCTCAGGGGACTTAACCAGGAGGATCACAAGTTCAAGGCCAACCTTGGCGATTTAGCAAGACACTGTCTCAAAAATATAAAAAGGATTGGGAATGTAATTGCGGTAGATCTCCCCTGGGTCCAATCCCCAGTACTGAGGGGCAGGGTAGGAGAGACAAGTCTACAAGCTCCTAAACCCTAGTAATCCTCCAGTGAATAGTTCTTTAAGAACCTAATTATAAGCCTTTTCCCTTAAAGATTACATAACTTTCGTTCAAAAAACATTCAGAATATGGAGACAAGAAGACAGACTTCTGGTTCTCAAGATTATTTAGGCTTATAGCTGGGTGCAGTGTACACACCTTTAATAATCCCATCTGCAATGGAATCTGAGTCAGGAGGGTGGCCAAGTTTAAGGCCAAACTCAAACAGGAATCTCTCTCAAAATAAAAATTTAAAAAGGACTGGGGTATAACTCAGTGGTAAAGCACTTACCTACATTACTCAAGACCCTGAATTCAATCCCTAGTACTCCACCATACATACAAAAAGATACTTAGTCCTATAAAATGGGTGTCATATTAGATTGATATTGTTGTTGTAACAAGTTTAGTGTCTATAAACAGCACACATTTATTCTCTTACAATTCCAGATGTCAGAAGTTCTAAAATCTGTTTTCAGGACTGTATTCCTTTTGGAAGATCTGGGGGAGAATTCATTTCCTTTCCTTTTCTAATTTGTAGATGCTGTCTGCCTTAACTGGCTTGTGGCCCCAAAATCCATCTTCCAAGCCAACAGTGTAGTATCTTCCAATCTCTTTGCTTTTGTTGCTCCAATTGTCTGTTGATTTTTTTCCCTTCCTCTTATAAGTCTTGTTAATACATTGGACCCATCCATATAATCTCTCCACTCAAGATCTTAAGTTTAATTACATCTACAGAGTCCATTTTGCCATGCAGGGAAAGTTACTCAGAGGTTCCAGGGAATTAAGAAGTGGATATTTTTGGGTAATAATATCCAGCCCACAGATGATATACATGCATAGTAATAATCTAATGATTACTGGATATATATCATGTTGCAATATGATAAATAACTGGCTGGGGATAAGAAAAATTCAGCTGGCAGTTTTCAGTTCAAGCAGCTCATATAACTATGAGAATTCTGAGAATAACTGATGGTTGAACTGCATCTTAGGGGATAAGTAGGAATCCATCAAGGAAAAAAAAAGACAAGAGGAGTCTGGTCAGAATACCCTTGTTAAAGGGGCAGTAAGTAGAGGCAAACTGAAATTGCTGGCTTTGTTGATAAACAATTTTTTGACATAATCACAGAAATGAAGTGTATATATAAGTAAATGGGAACAGAAGAAAAAGAGTATCAGTCAGAGTAAAGGGCTCATAAAAAGAGACCTTTATCCTCCTCATTTTATTTTCCAGTTTATCTCCCTTGGTGGTTAACCTTTCACTTGATGGCTCAGGGTTCTTGTTCTTTTCTCATTGCTGTTTAGTTAAATATGGGAAGATCAGAAATCATTTCAGTTATGTACTTCATATGTTAATACTCATTTGGCTTATGAAAATAAATATACCTTTATGAAAATATTATTTCAACTTTTATTTTACTTCTATTATTATTATTTTTTCATCTTTGAAAGCCCTTGGTAAACAAGAAAGAATGAGCATGAAGGTGCAGAGCTGAAGCATTGAGCCTGTCATAAAAGAGCAGTTAGCTAGTAGTAATTTTGAAAGTAAACCTTACTTATTCACTGATTATCAGGAGCAAAGGTAGAGAAGAAATTATCTGTGGTCTCTGTGTGGTAGCCTGTCTCCTTTAAGAGAGTGAGTTTCCTGAAGGTCGAATCCAATTACGAGTCTCAATTTGACAATTTTGTATAAAAATCAATTCCTTTAGTCATCAATATTGCAATAACAATTATTGACATAATAAATATTATTGACTTAATACCATAATTAAGCAATACACTCAAGTAAAAAATTTGTAAACAGACCTGAGTTTGAATCCTAGTATTGTGATTTTTCTGTGTAGTATAGAACAAGTTTCTTAAGCTCTCCAAGATTATTCTTTCATCTATTCAACGAAGATAATAACAGCTTCATGACTTTGTTGAGAAGATTTTAAAGAGTGTAATAGTAGCACATTTCTTTCAGGAACCATATGAGGAGTCTTTAGGTTTTAAAAAGTTTAGACTAGTTTCTAACAAAAGTGCTCAGTTTTGTCAGTATTGTTAATTTATTATCAAATAAATTATTATTATTTTTTTTGTCACTTTAGGTAAACCTTGGAAGCAACCAGTACCTTTTCTCTGTCGTAGTAGATCCTAAAGAAATGCCCTGCTTCTGTTTGCGCCATGATGTTGACGCCCTACTCTGGCAGCCACACTCCAGCAAACAAGATGATATGTGGGAACACATTGCAACTTTCAATGCTCTAGGTATAAAGCAAGCTCTTTGACAGTGTTTTCCATTACACAAAAAATTAGTTATCATTAAGTTTATTTGCCTTTTTCTTTTTAATTTGAGCTATCCTAATTACATTTAGATTAATTTGTGGTATGACTGGTTGCTTGTATTACTTGTGTTTTAGTTGATGAAGGCTAATGCTATTAGAACAGAGATAATCTGTTCTTATGCTTGTATGAAAGATTAACACAGAATAGAAATGGAAATGGTTATCTAACCACTTGAATCATTCTAATCAGTCATTTGCTTATTTTAATTCTTTTAAGTTATGCAATATTATAATATGAACAAGGGAACTTGTATTTAGGTTTCTTCATAGTAATCTTTAAAAGTAGCATAGAATTGCTCTAAGGTAATGTACATTAGATAGCATGTTCCACTGAACTTAAGTGGCCATTATAATGGAAACACTTAGAAAAGTGGCATTAAGCAGAAATTACATTTATTTGGTAGAATAAAAGGGAAAATACTGATTTCAAAACTAGGACTTAAAATTTTTAAGCCACTTTATTATAAGAGTGTGCAGTCATTTATTTTATGTAAAAATACATTAGTAACTATTGTGTAGGAGAAATTTTTTATGTTAATTAGCCACCATGACTTTATTGAAAGGTTGTTTTAAACTGACAGAAGGAAGTAAAATTGTTCATTTTAATGGATAAATGTGCACAACCCTAACTGTAGAGATTTGTCAGTTATCCTTTATGGTGTAGTTAATAACGTAGGCTACTAAACTGATTAATTCAGACACCAAATAGATTTTTATGACCTGAAATTCAAAGTTTAATAGATTTAGCTATATATTTTTAGCCTCTGTACTGTCATTCCTATTTTATAAAAAATCTCCTCTTTCAGTAAGAGGAGAGTTCTGTCATATGTTTCAGATGCTCAGATCCTCCATTTGTATGCCCAAACCCTCTATTATAGAGGAAATCTGCTATGCTTGAGTCTAAATTAAATGAACTGTACATTAGATATGTACTCTTGAGATATAATCTGCATTACTAATTCTGTCAAAATTAGTTTGGACAGCTAATTCTAAACTACTCACATAGGAGTCTACGTCCTCTTCACTTTTCCTTCTTCAAACCTTACAAAAACAGTATTGATCTTCCTGTGCCCCATAGCTTTGCTCATTGTTTTTTGTTGAGATTTTGGTTTTCATTAGTGTTACATTTTTTTATTGCACATGTTATAAAATTTAGAAACCATGTACCAATCTGAAAATTCTAGATTATCTTTCAAAACATAAATGTCCTTTAAATATGAAGAGATACTTTTTATTAAAACATGTGCATGATTTAAGATTGTTCAATTTCAAGGATATCCTAATTAAGTTTTTTATTAGATACTTGAGTCTTTTTTAGCTTGAGTAGTTTCAAAGTTCTGCTTTTGGGGGCTGGAATACAAAAACATCCTATTATAGTTTTGATATTACTGTATAAAAACACCACAAACATTGTAGGGATCATGGGAGAATGCATTGTGAATTAGTACCTTCAGGGATGCATTATGAACAGCCTCTTAAAGTAACTTCATGATATTATTTATTATACAGACATTTTTCCTATTTGATAAGAGAAAACACGACTCTGCTATATTTGTTATTCATCCACCTACATACTAAACTGGCATTTAAAGATCTTTTGGTGGACTGGTGTTGTGGCTCAGTGGTAGAGCACTTGCCTAGCAAGTGCAAGGCCCTGGGTTTGATCCTCAGCACCACATAAAAATAAATAACAGGATTATGTCCAACTACAACTAAAAAATAAATATTTAGGGCAAAAAAAGGTCTTAAACATTAAGATGCCAAAAGTTTTCAGATTTGTAGTGTTTTAATTATTCATGGAAATTAAATGGAATTATATTGTGCTGTTCTTGAAGAGATGAATTCCTATTTTGTTTCTTAGGAATTAAAGCTGTATTTTTGCACTGGTTGGGAGAAACTGTGGGTAAATTGCTAATGGTTCTGAATTCAACCATGATTGAATATTTATGGTATATATTTTACTTAGGCATTTTAATTTGTAATAGAAGTTATAAGATATTCAATGTTAAGCCATTATTTTCTCCCTTCTGCTTAACATACTTTTTTTTGTTGTTGTTGTTCTTGTTGTCTGTCTGTCTGTCTTATATTTTTGGCAGGTTATGTCCAAGCATCAAAAAGAGACAAAAAATTTTTTGCCTGTGCTCCAAATTATTCCTATGCAGCCCTTTGTGAGTGCCTTCGTCGAGTTTTCATCTATCGTCAGCCTACTCCCATGTCCACTGTGCTTTACAACAGAAAGGAAGGCAGGCATGTAGGGCAGGTTGCTAAGCAGCAAGTAGCTAGCCTAGAAACCAATGATCCTATTTTAGGCTTTCAGGCAACAAATGAGAGATTATTTGTTCTCACTACCAAAAACCTCTTTTTAATAAAAGTAAATACAGAGAATTAATTTTTCCAACATGTTGACTTCTCTGTACTGGGAAAGTATTCAGCAGTGACTAAAGGACTGGGTAGTTATACCATAACCTGTTAAGTTTTAATATATTAAAAATATCTCATGGATTTTTTATATTTTAAAGGATATTAGAAATGTATTTAAAAGATTATGATACTGTAAAAACTATGGAATGAAACTGCAGATTTAGAAACATTGGCTTCTGTAAAAAAAAATGTAGTATTGGCAAGTATAATTATTTTTAAAAAACAAGCTAGAATCTCATATTTTATAAATGAAACATGTGTAGTTCAGTGTTTAAAATAAAAATATATAAAAAAAAAATAAAATAAAATAAAATAAAAATATATATCATGTACTTTTCATTGATTAGGTTGGTACGTCTGTAGAATGTTTAGGTTAACAGTTGAAATGTTGAGTATTGTAAAAACTTATTTAAATGGACTAAATATCTGAGTCTATGCAAAGCAGGAAGTATAGCAGGTTGAATAGTCCTAAAGTTGCTCAGAGATCTTGGTTGTCTTTCAGATGAAGCATAGCTTTATTTAATTTTTAATTGTTTTGCTCTGCCACCTAGATAAGGTTAACTACCATGTTATCCATTGTTGCATAAGAAAGTACCCCAAAACCCAGTGATTTAAAATAAGATTTATGACTTTTCACTGTTCTGTAAGTTGACTGGCTGTGCTCTGCATGGCCTCTCAACTTTTAGTATGCTAAACTGGGCTGCATCCCACAACAGAACAAATGTTTGAAGAGGGCAAGCTTCAATATGCAGTACCATGCCTGTACTCCCTTCATATTTGCAAGTCACATGGCCAAGTCTAGAATCAGTGTCAGAGAGGACTATATAAGGACATAGACAGCAGGAAGTATGATTCAATAGAGCCATTAATGTAGTAGTCTACAAACAAGGACTAAGGACAATAAATTCTCACAGCTTAAACAAAATAATTCTGTTTGTACATTAATTTTTTTCACCATGATTTTCAGTTTTATTTCCCTAGGTTTCTTTTGTTTCCCCCCCCCTTTTTTTTTTTTGGTTGTTGTTGTTGTTGTTTTGGTACCAGGGATTGAATTCAGGGGCCCTTAACCATTGACTCACATCCCCAGACCTTTTTTAGTTTTGTTTTTAGAGACAGGGTCTTACTGAGTGGCTCGGGGCCTTACTAAGTTGCTGAGGCTGGCTTGGATCATCCTGCCTCAACCTGTGCCCAGCTCCCTGGGTTTCTTTTAGTTTTTAGTTATCTGGAGTTTTTCTTAATAAGACTTTACTCTAAAAAGCAGAAAATGAAGATAAAAAGAGGTAAGATAGAAAATAGCTGTTCCTAACTTATCTTTTGTCAATCTGAGCAAGTATTTCACTGAATTGGATTTTAATGAAAGAAGAAAAAACAGGCTTAACAGAAGAGAAGGGAAAAGATGGGAATTGCTTACATGTTCTTAATCCCATCTCAGAATGCAGTTTCCTAGAGAGAAATTTAAATGGGTTTAAAATATATTACTAATTTTTGCCCCAATTTAAAATAAAAGATTTGTAGCTTGGGTATATGGAAAATGTCAAAGTCAGAAAATATGGTTTCTAGATTGAAAGATTACATAAATTTACTTTTGTCTTCTCCCTGGTACCAAAGAAGTTGCTTTCAAGTTTCTTCTCATAAATATACAGTTTTGAGGAGTTACTTAACTATTAAGTGAAAGTAATATTCCCTAATCCATAAACTCAAATGTGAAAATCTAAAATAAAGTCTCATTATGGAGAGTATAGTTATTATATCTTCCCCCCACTGTGGAATTAGGCCTCTTAATACAAATAATGGAAAAACAGACCTAAATTAACTTAGGCAAAAGAGAGGAATTAATGGCTTATATTGCCAAAATTTCAATAATAGCTCTGAGTTTAATCATTGATACGTTAATGATCAGTTTTCACTCACAGCCACCTAGCTCCGTACGTGTTTGCTCCATATTTTAATAAGTTCTTGCCTCACTATAGTGAGAAATATGGTTGTTACATCCCTGCATTCTTATATCTAATAGGAAACCTTTGTCCCAGAAATCATAGCAAAAGCTCATTGTGAATGATTGGTTCTTAATGGGTCAGGTTCCCATTTATGAGCCAACTACATGATAGAGATTTTGCTTTTGGAAAGTACCCACTGGCTTATATTTAAATAATACTCTCCGTACCTGGGGCCAAAGAGTGGAGATAGTAATACACAAATGGAATTATAAATTATGGTCTAGCTTCTGAAATAAAGAATGGATGTCACTGCCCCCAGATATAGGAAATGAGCACTGAAATGCTATTTGCTACAAGAAAAATTATTAATAAAAAGAAATATAATGAAACAATGTGGTTATGGTAATAGAAAATTTCTGATAAATTCTTTTTTTAAAAAAAGTAGCCATTTTAACAGCATTATTGAGGAATCGACTGAAAATAAAAGAAAATTTCAATGAAAGAAACATTGAAAGATTTCACAAAATGGAGACAGGATTGCATTTAAGAAGCAGGGTTTGTGCACAATTTCAGCCTTTGCCTGGAATGTGAACTGTGGCCTCCTTCAGCCTTTGACCACAGGCATCTGAACCACTGGACAGTTAAATTGTGCATAGCAATTCAAGGTGCATACCAAGGGGTCTAAGTACTCTTGTTTATGGACATTTGCATTCTGTTTGTACTTTCTTTATCTTCTATCAGTCCTGTCACTGTTTTTTCTCAACATACAGAAATCCTTATTAGCTCCCACTTTTCCTGCCTTCATTGGAGCACTGATTCACAGCCGTCTGAATCTGTGTATTCCAAATTACAATTTATAAAAGATTCCCTCTCCCCAAATAAAGTCCTTTTTCACTTCTGCAGTGTCCGAGTGTGGATTGACCAACACAACATACAATAAAATGCATATTTAAAATATTTTGATTGGGAAATATGTAGTTGATCTTCTGTGCCATTGCCTAGCACACAACTCCTAAAATCCTTGGAATCTCCAAAATGATAAGCATCTTTTATTTACACATGAGTTGAATGAGGGGTGGGTGGCTGGTCACTGTGAGGGTAAAGCCATGGTCAGAGGATTTAATTAGAGCATTGGGACTTTCAACCCCGACCTCTAACCTCCAAAAAGTGTTAAAGGTCAAGTGGATCATGAGTGGCAGTGAGATGAAGCCTCCGTAAAACCCCACATGGACAAATCTGGAGAGCTTTCAGATAGCCCAACACATGAGAGATTCCAGGAAAGTAAACAAAAACATTTACATGTAGGGAGAGTAATTCATCCCAACTCCATAGGGACAGAAGTTCCTATACTAGGAACCTTTCCAGACTTCACTCACCCTGTGTATCTCTATCTAGAGCTTTGTTTATATCCTTTAAAATATTTTTAAAAAAATTTTAAATACATTAGTTGTTCACTAGTTTATATGTGTTTCCTGAGTCCTGTGAACCGCTCAAGCAAATTGATCAAATTTGAGGGGTTATGGGAAGTGATTCATAGCCAATAATAGGTCAGAGAGGTAAAATAACCTGGGCATTGCAGTTGGTACTGGAAGTGTGAGCAGTCTTGTAGGACTGAGCCCTAAATCTGTGGGATCTAACTGAGGAAAATTCTGAGATGCTCTATGTTTAATTACAAGGATCAAAGGTTAATCTGTTATTAAGCAGGGAGCTAAGAACAAATAAAATTTTACATTCTTGAATGTATGTTAAAATCTTAAATCTCATCTCAAGGCCCACACCCCAATACATCTTGCTTGGAATCTGAAACAATATAGAAGCAACAATTGTGTCTGAAGGATTGCCCTTCCATTTCTCCTATAGTGAGTCAAGTGTCAGTGTAAACTACTTGTTCCAGGACCTGGTCCTTTCTGACTAGCATTTGTAACAACTCAATAAACCCATTTAGTTCAGTGAATCTTCTATCTCAAAAGTTTTGGTTTAACACTAGTGCTAGAATTGATGTGTGGGGAAAGTCACTTGTATTTTATATTACAGTTGCTTTTGGAAAATGTCAACTAGACTAGAGCTGACAGGAATTTTCAATAATAAAAATTGGGGGAAGAAGGCATGGTGAAGTCATTGGCTATTTTTACCATAGGTATCAGCAATTCCACATCTGGGTATACACCCCAAAGAAGTAAACTACATAAATGTTCATAGTGGCATTATGCATAATAATCAGAAATTATAAAAAGCCCAAATAACTATCAATTGATAAATGAACAAATAGAATGTGATATATCCTTACAATAGAATATTACCTGGCAATGAAGGAAGTAGTGATACATGCTCAACACAGGTGAATCTTGGAAACGATATGCTAAGTGAAAGAAGCCAGTCACAATACACCACATATAGTATAATTCCATTTATATAAAAAGTTGGATCTATATCTGTTAAAAAAAAAAAAAGCAGATTAGTGCTTGCTAAAGGTTGAGTGGAATAGATAATGGCAGCTGATGGTAAGTTTATTTTGGGGGTGATAAAAATTTCCTAAAATTGATCACAGCAATAACTATACCATCCTGTGATTGAAATGTATAATTTAGGGGCTTTTTGACAAATAGGTGGATTGTGTGGTATGTGGATTATATCTCAAGTCATGGAAACAAGATGAAAGAAATGTTGCCAAGGTCAGCTTTCATTCTAAATATGTATAGATTTTTTTTCTTAAATGGTGCTTTTGCCTTCAGTTTGTTTATATATTTTATTTTAAAAGAATTTAAAAGGAAGTTTGGGGGCTCACAGTTTCAGAGGTCTCAATCCCTAGATGGTTGGCTCCATTGGTCTGGACTTAAGGTGAGGCAGTACATCATGGCAGAAGAGTGTAGTGGGAGAAAGCAGCTCAGGACATGGAACCCGGAAGCAGAGAGAGACAGCACCCCTAACCATGGATAAAATATGAACCCCAAGGTATGACTTCATTGATCTACCTCCTTCAGCCATACCCTACATGCCTACAGTTGCCCCCATTTAATCCCTATAGGGGATTAATGCTCTGATTAGGTTAAAGCTCCCGTAACCCAATCATTTCGCCTCTGAATTTCATTGCATCGTCTTACAAATGAGCTTTTGGGGAACACCTCATTGAAAGCGTAACAGTAGGGATATTAAGTTACCAGTGATACTGTCATCAAAATATCTCCAATGAAGTACTTTTTCTGTAATGTTGTAAGTAGTTATTTGGACAAAGGCATACTCTATTCTGTATTTATTTTATACAGATATTTATATTTATCTAAAACTGTGTGAGTCTATAGAAAGTGATTTAAACTATCAGCCTTTTATTCTTGGTAACATGCAATCTTTGAAAATCACAAAGAACTCTACACATTGCTTATTTAGGAGTGGAGTCAGAATGAGTGTTGAATGTTAAGACTCCCCCACTCCTGAAGATATGTGTGCTACTAAGTGGTTTTATAGTTAAAATGAACTGATATTGTAGATTTTCTTTGAGTATGCTATTGTTCAAAATTAACATCTCTTTTGATTTTATCCTGTATATATCTTTAGTAATGAAGGATTTAGACCAATAAATGAGAACAGCCTTTGTTTACATGTCCAGGGTCTAGTTGAAAATCACTGCCATGGATCTTGGAGAAATAATGCTCATTGTACATAAAGATATGAGGCCTTTTAGGGCCTTGGGACTGGAGAAAAGCTTTAATGTCCATGTAAGGAGTTTCTAATGATCTGGAAATTCTAATTTTCTCTGTCTTTGTGTTTCTTGCTTCCTCTCCTTCCCATCTTTCTCCTTTCTCCCTTCCTTCTCCTCCATCTGTCTCTGGCAGCCACTGCTTAGGTGGAGTTTCCTCCCCTTACCCAGACATTCATCTGCCATACACCTGCCAGAAGAGTGTTACAATTGATGGAAAAATAAATTCATTTGACAACTGGTGTATTAGGATCATCTTAGTACGTAAAAGACAAAGTTTACCTGTTCTTACCTCTGTTGACAATTCATTGGTATCACATGGCAAAACAACTGTGACAAGCTAATATTCCTATAACTAAGAGTGGGTGGGGGTCTTTGATAATGAGAGATACTTGTCTTCTGAGGACAATATAGAAAAAGGTAGTTTGAAAGAAGAGGTTGGGAATAACAGGGATGGATCACATAATTAACCTAGTCTGCTATGTTTATTATTGGAGCAAACTGTGAAATTTGCATTTGCACATGTGTGTGGGTATGTGTGTGATGGGGGAGAGAGTATGCTGGAGGTGAACTGTTTACCATTATATTACAATGAGAAAATAATTAAAATATTCTCCAAATACAGTGGTTTTTCCTAAATTTGAGCGTCAGATACATTTGTTCATTGATCACATATATAGCAAGTATATGCTTCTGTGTTACTTTGCTAGGTGCTGAGGATGATCAAAATGTCAGAACAGGTCTTTCAGGAGTTTTGTTTTATAAAAGGAACAGATTTCCCCCAATATCTACTGTAAATTGGAGACAATGATTCATTCCTCAGAGCTGTTTTGAAAATTGTATGTTATATAGAGTGCCTCATTTTTAAACATGCTACTTTCCTCAAAGGAATTTATGATATCTTAAAGAATATGCGACTGTTAGACATGAAGTGAATTGTGATAGCATGATATTGGGTATTAAATGAAATTTTTCCTCTCATAATTGATTAAAGCCCCCAGAGAAAGAACAAAATTTGCTAAGTGTGCTACCTTGTAGGATTGGAGAACCACCTGCTGTGGGTACCAGGGCTTGCTGAGAGACTAGTGTTATGCAGAACCTTTCTTACCATTACTCTCTCCTATTACCTCCAAGTGATTTTAGAGGATTGACATGGAGATAAATTTGGCAAGGGTGAGAGAGGGAGTACCTGACTAGTTTTCTAGTTGGTTATAAAGTTTGGGGGGTTAAACAAGGGGTGACTGCATTTATTTCCTAGCTGGATATCTGTTTAGCCAGCAGGCTTTTCCACCTACCCAGTGCTGCAGGAGCAGGGTAAAGAGCAGTATGGGCAGGAGGTTTGGTAGTGAGGAAAAGTGGCAGAACTCATGTACTAAGTTCCCAGTGCCTGAGAGGTATGAAAATGGGTTCTCTTTACAAATGTGGCACCAGTGTTAGGGATGAGAGTAGATGAGATTAGAAGCCAGAGGTTCTCCAGAGACCACAGGGTGTGTAGCAATGAAGCAGTGCGAACCAGAGCAGCTTCAGGTTGTTACTATATGGGAATAAGATATATTGTGTGGCTGGTTTTCCCACTGTCAAAGACAGAAAGTTTAATTCACGAGTGAGAGGAGGCAGGGCAAAGCAGCTAAGCACATAAGCATTTGTGACAGCAGCAGTAGGTTGTGATATAGCAATTGAGCATCTGACTACTATAACCAGATTGCATTGGTTCAAATCTGTAAAAGGGCAGTGGTGGTAATGATTGTACCTACCATACAGGACTATTGTAAGAAAGAAGTTCATACATGAAAGAATATTTGGCATAGTAAACAATTATGGCTGTTTCTACTGGTATTCTATATACATCCTGAAAAGAGGTACTACTTGGAGGGGTGGACACAAAAAGAATTTTAGACTTTATAAGAATCTGAGCTTCCTCAGGGAAAGAAATGGCTTATTATACCTACAGTGACTGCCTCGTAGTAGATGCTCCATGAATGTTTCACAATAGATTAATGATAAAGTAATGTTGAAGAATATATGAATTTCAGGCAAAAGGATTGTTAATGGGAAAGTAAAACGAGAAGCAGGATGTTAAAGCAGGCGTGTGAAGCAGCCACTGCCTTAGCTGGGATAACACAGGATTTCTCTGGGATAACACAGGATTTCTCGTCCTCAGCAGTATTCACATTTGGGGCTGGCTAATTCCTGGTTATGAAAGGACTT